CACACACACACTCTCACACACACTCACACAAAAACAAACAAACATCAACAACAACAATATCAACAAGAACAACAACAAAAAAAACCGGGGGGTCGGGAGAGGAAGATTTAACAACCTCAACTTTTTTTTTTTTTTTTTTGAAGCTCTTACAACGAGAAAAAGGAGGGGACACATCTGGGTGGGAGGGGGGAGAGGGAGGAGGGAGGGAGGTTTTGGTGATGGGACACAATAACTAACTACATTGTATATTGACAAAATAAAAAAATAAATAAATAAATAAAGCCAAAAAATAAAAAAATAAAAAAAAATAAAGTGGTTTTCTAATTATCCTATGAGTCAAAGAAAAAAACACAATAAAAATTAGAAATTATTTTGAACTATATGATAAAATGATATATTTCAACATGTAGGATGCAGTTAAACTTATGATTAGAGGTAAATTTAAGTTTTAAATGCAAAGATTAGAAAATAAGAAACTGTAAGAACAAGAGAGGGGGTGTGGAAAAACTCAGCTGGCACTGGCTAGACACAGAAAGCACTAATCATAAGGGAAAAGACTGCATTACATAAAAATGAAGAATGTTATTCATCCAAATATACCAACTAGGTAAGCTACAGATTGGGAGAAAGTATTTGCACTAGATATATCATGCAAAGGACTCATATTCAAAATATATTAAAGAATGCTTGCAAATCACTGAAAAAAGACAGACGATACAGTAGAATAATGGAGGAAGGTCTTGAACAGACACTTCACAAAGAGGATATCCAAATGGCCAATGCACACATAAAAAGGTACTTGACATCAATAGCTGACAAGGAAAATTGAATTAAAACCACAATGAGTTATTACTATATATATATCTTCCAGAATGCTTAGAATTTAAAAAGACTAACGCCACCAAGTATTGGCACATATATGAAGCAGGAGTAATTTTCATACTGTACTGATAAGAGAATAAATTGGCACAACACTTTGTAAAAATGTTTGGCTGTATTTAATAATGGTGAAAATATGAATACTGTATACTCCACCAATTTCAATCCTAGGTATATACCCAATAGAAAGATGCTCACAGTAGCTCACTGTAATAGCCCAACACTTGAACAAACAAATATCCATCAACAGCAGAGTGACAAATTGTGATACATTCATGTTCACAATGAAATTTAGTAATGAAAATAGCCAAATTACAGCTACACGGAATAACATGAATGACTCTCACAGACACAAAAGGATAGCGATTGTATGATTCTATTTAAATAGAGTTCAAAACCAGGCAACACTAATATAGGCTTTTACGAGTCAAGATTGTGATCACCTTTTGGGGAAGAAGGAAGGTGTAGTGATTTAGAAGGGACATGCAGAGGTTTCTAGATGGCTGGCAATATCCTATTTCTTGACTGGCATAGTGGTTATAAGGGTGTGTTCATGCTTGATAATTCAATGATCTGTACACCTAGGCATGTATTTATATATGTATGTATTCTATGCTTCGATTAAAATTTAAAAAATAATAAATTACCTGATTTAAGTTTGTGTGACATGTCCTGGTAAACTGCAGTTGAAAGTTGAAATTAGATTTCAAAGAGATGACTCATTCGTCAGACAAGAGACAGAAAGACATTCCCGTCAGAGAAAACAAAATAAAGTGAGCCATTTTACATGGAGGGAAAAAGGTTCAATGTGAAATAAGATTAAGGAGAGACAGTGGTTAGGAGAACCAATGAGAACGATTCTGAAACAGCTGGATGGTGAAAAATTAATAAGAGCTTGAAGTAGAAAGTGGCATTACCACAAATGGAGAGAAAAGAGCAGATGAAACAAATGAAAGAGCAGAAAGAAGCCAAATTTTCTTTAGTTCACATACACTGTATGCAAGGGACAAAGAAAACAGAAGGATAACTAACATAGACAGCTACACCTAACATCCCTGTGCACAAAAAGAAGGGTATTGTGAATCATCATAACAACTCTATGTGGTAAGAATACTTTTATCTCCATTTTACAGATGAGGCACAGGCAAGTTAAGAAACTTACCCAAAAGTTATAAAGGCAAGAAATGGTGGGATTCTTAAATACTATATCATACCCACAAGACTGAGGCTTCAAGCCTGGGTGAAGCGGGGGATGATAATTTCATTTTGCATAACCAGGAAACCTGGGAAAAGGAGCGATCCTTGCCTGGAAGAAGAATGATTTTGCTCTCTATCCCCATCTTTCCTCATTAAAACCAAGCATCACTGTCTCTTCAGCAAAAACAGCATGTTTACTCAACCCTGGTATAATTTGATGAGTAGCCCCCAAAACACCTTAAGAACAACCTGATTTGTGAAAAAGAAAGTCACTGGAAGAAATGTGTGCAAAATTCCAGAATTTTAAGTTATTTATGTACCCATCCATTTCCACTGATTTCTACCTCTGAAATATTTCTTCGACTCTTCCTTCTTTATTGCCTTATACTAAACCGTCTGAGCTCCAGCCCTCCCTGTTTTTCTCCTGGTCTGTGATAATTACCTCACACTTGGTTCCTCACCTTCAGTGTTGCTTT